TATTCTTCACCATCCTATCTCAAGCAACTTGCGAATGCCTTGACCACACACTCTATTCAACACACTAGTGAACTCAGTCAGTCTAACCCAAAGTGTGAGGTTCTGAACTGTTTATCACATGTTGATAGTCACATGGAGTTTGGGCTTAACAATTAGCTTGAAGCTTCTAGCTTCTCTTCTTCAATCCTAAAGGCTAAAAAGAACTGAACACTTTCCATCAACCCTTTCTTGATCCTCAGGACAAGAAACTATATGTCTTCCATCAACAGCTCTATCAACTCTGAAGTATCCTCTTCCACCATTGAATTGCTGATCATTCTTCTAGAAACTTTAACAACCAGGATAATCACTGATTATCAAGCAAAGGATGACACCATCCAACAACTCATCAACAGCCTCACTACTGAGGCCCAAATCAATAGACCCAGGCCTGGACCAGAGTCTGAAAGCATGGGCCAATCAGGTCCTTGCCAAGAGGAGGCAGAATCCCTCCCAAGTCTCCCACACCTCTTGACCCCTGACACCGACTCCACTAATGAGTTGGTGGAAAAAGAGAAGGACAAGCGTGTTCAGCAGTGGGGAGATAAGCTCGATGAGCAGCACAGACAGCTTGCCAGGCTTGACTGACCAGCAGAGTGAGGCTCAGTCCCAAAGCCCCAGGAGCACCGAGAATGGCCTCTGAGCACTGAGTGGGAGGAAAATCCCAAAGATGACCCCTATGCCCCAGACTGCTGGGACAACATCGAAGACAATCAGGATCAAAGTACCGATACTGGATCAACAGAAGGCATAGGAGAACAGGGACTCCTGCCAGCCCAGAGATGAAAGTGGGTCTCAGACACTGAATGGAATGAGGACCCAAGAGATGATCCCTATGAGATCGACCAGTGGGGCAATGATGACACCACCAACGAAGGAGAAAGCGGTCCAGATGGACCTCTATCCAGCAAGTCAGAAAGCAGTGATTATCTGGCTGACAACGAGTCCTTTGACTGGACCATCAGGGCCCAATTACAAACAACCATCCCCTACATCAGCAATCAAGCCCTTCATGGGTTCTTACACAAGAAGCTCACCACCCTCTTTCTCAATCAGGACTTCTATCAGGAGTTCCAACAATATGTCACACAGATCAAAGGAGAAAGAGAGTGGTGGCACTATGCCGAGACTGAAGAGGTCTGGGACCAGCCCTGTTGGGGGGTTCCCCACTGGAGAAGTGGTCCCAAGGACCAATACTATCCTCAGGGAGGATGGAGAAATCAAAGAGGGGGAAAATACCCCCTCTGCAAATAATTGCTGGTCGAGGCTGGTGGATGAGGAGGCAATGGAGAGAGGGGACTGGGGATAGCAGATGGGACTCAAGCAACATCTGAGGAATTGACTGAGGCCCAGACCAAGAGGAGAGGCACTACTAGTGCTGAGTACACCCTTGGTGCTACCAGGGGATGAATACTCACTATCTCTGGCAAGTACTATACCTCTATGGAGAACCGATTCTCCATTTAGCAGCACCATGACATGGCTCTTGGAGGAAAGGCTGACATACCCAAATCTCTAGAGATACCTGGTTCGATGACCATTTGCCAGACAACTGCTGCCTGATGAGGCCGAAGGAAGTGGAGCTGCACTGACTGCTCCAGAAGGAGATGATCCTGATGCCACCACCAAGGGCTGGACCATCGAGAATGGGCATATCATACAAAAGAAGCCTCTGCTGCTAAGAAGTCCTATTGCCGATGATGGGTCGCTCCATTCATTCTCAGGGCTGCCAGCAGAATGGGTGGGTCCACCAGGGGGAGAGCCCCTGAACCTGATGCCTCCTCTTGACCCAAAGGCACAAATTCTGCAAGTTAAACCCATCCTTGTGTGGAAAACAGTTCCTTTTAAAGGAGCATCTGACAATATTGACTGCTTCCTCACAGATTGCAATCAATATTTCCAAATGTTCACCTCCTACTTCCTTCTTGACATGTACAAGGTGACACATGCCACCATCTACCTGGAAGACAAGGCAAAAATGTGGTGGGTGCTTCTAGCCTCCATGTTTTGGTCGACCACACAGATGCACCATCGGTACCTCTCATGGCCAGTATTCAAGCAAATGATCTGTGACAAGTTCACAGATCTCACCATCCAGAAAGTCTATAAACAAAAAATGAAGGACTACAAGATGGGTAACAAGACAGCTACTGACTACTTTGACGAGTTGGAATGACTCGGTAAACTCACTGGGGTACAAGAAGATATAGCTGACACAAGATGAATGGTCAAATACATAAAGAGAGAACTGCTGCCCTCTTATCTGAAGACCATTTCAGATCTTGAACATAGCATCCCAGTTGGCTATGAGAAATGGAAGGCCTGGATCATCATCATGTGATGAGAACAACAATAACAGAAGGTGGAATCATCCACCCTATCATAGGACAGGCACAAGAACCAGGGGCAAAGTAGAAAGTCTTTCGGCTCCCAGGCAGCCACGTCCTTGAAGCCTGGAGGCTCAACCCCAACTTCTCAATATGGTGAGAAGCAAACCAGTATGAGCATGACATTTACCAGAACAGGTAAGCCAATAGACATGGATCATCTCAAGAAGGGGGGAAAATGTTTTAATTGTGGTCAAAAGGGTCACATGGCATGAAACTGCCCTCAGAAGAAGAACAAGCACACCCAGGAGGATATTAGGGCCCAGATTGCTGAATTGGTGAAGGAAGAACAGGAACTCAGGGTAGAAGACAAACCTGAGGAGGTAAAAGATGGGATCAAGCAGTAAGCAATTCTACTGGCTCGGCCGAAGTATTAACAAGTGGACTGTCACCATCAGCCATTGAACAGACTGACTTTATCTCTGTAGTATTAAATATGTCCAAATTATGCATGCATTCGAATATACCTGACAGTACCACTCAAAAACCAGAATCACCTAAGGAACCAGAATGAAAGGGATGAGAATCTCAACTGCCAACAAATGGCTGAACAGGGGCAGAGAGCCCTAAAAAAGGTAAGTCTCAATTTAGAACTCATCAAGTTAATATGCCAGTAGGACCTCAAACACTGGAAAGAAGGAAGAGGGATCCTGACAAGTGGCTAAAGCCATTTGAAACTGAATGGACTTGGCAGGCCATCAAAGATGCAAAGGACAAAGAAGCAGCAAAGGCAGTACTCAAGAACTGGGTACATAAGACCTGAGCTGAAGAAGTAATCGACAAAATGATCACTGGGATGTGAGCCCTAGAACAATGCCGAGCCTTAGAATGGCTCAACGAATTACATGGGCCACAAAAATTCATCTGATGAACCAAGTCCCCAGGACAAGACCTACTAGCTAAAGCTCAGATCGAAATGTTAATGTCTCGAACTACCTATACAGTCACCACCCTGATTGATAATGGCTGCACAGGGAGTTCTATCAATTGAGCTTTCATCAACAAGCATCAATTGCCCACTCAGGCCACAGCAGCATCTATCTCAGTCTACAATGCAGATGGGACAAAAAATCAGGCCAGATCAATCACTGAATATGTAGAGCTTAGACTCACTATTGGTGATCACTCTGAATGGATTGACCTGACAGTGACCAATCTAGGAACCAAGAAAATATTTCTTAGTCATGATTGATTAATCAGACATAATCCACTAATCAATTGGAAAACTGGATGCATCATTTTCATTCAATGTCATTGCCAGAAAATCCCATTTGAATTACCAGATGAGGATCTGAAAGACTGATGGGATGAAGAGATGGAAGACAGTGAAACAATTCTTGCCATTGACCTACAAAGGGCCATTAGCATTCGGGTGATTCACCATGCTAATGACCTAGCTGCAAAGGCCAATGCTGGAAAGAAGAAAAGGACATTCGAAAAAATGGTACCTGAATGGGCACACGACTATCAGGATTTATTCAAAAAAGAAAGTTTCGACAAACTACCTGATGCCAAGCCCTGGGACCATGCCATCAAACTAATCCCCAACTCTAATGCTAATTTGGACTGCAAGTGCTATTCATTGAGCAACAATGAACAACAAGAACTAGATAAGTTCCTTGAGGAGAACTTATCCAGCAAAAGAATCTGACCCTCAAAGTCACCAATGGCCTCACCCTTTTTCTTCATCAAAAAGAAGGATGGAAAACTTCAACTGGTACAGAATTATCGGAAGCTCAATGAGATGACAATCAAAAATCATTATCTGCTTCCTTTAATCTCAGAATTAATGGACAAACTCCGAGGTGTGAAGTACTACACCAAACTAGATGTTCAGTGAGGGTACAACAATGTGTGCATCAAAGAATGAGACGAGTGGAAGGCTGCTTTTTGAACTAACCATGGTTTGTTCAAACTGATGGTTATGTTCTTTGGACTTACCAATTCACCAGCCACCTTCCAGTGGATGATGAATGGCATCTTCAAAGACCTCATTGCTACAGGAAAGGTAACAATCTACTTGGACAACATACTCATTATGTCCAAAACCAAGGAGAAACACCAGAGGATAGTATAACAGGTACTGTCTCTAATGAGGAAGCATTGACTCTTCCTCAAGGCTGAAAAGTGTGAATTTGAGATATTAGAAACTGAATACCTTAGAGTCATTATCAGCAAAGGAAGCATCAGGATGGACCCTGTCAAAGTGACAGAAGTAACTGAATGGCTGGAACTGACAAAGAAGAAGGAACTGCAATCCTTCCTTGGATTCACCAACTTCTACTGATGGTTCATCTGGGATTACAGCAAAATAGTTCAACCTATGATGCAATTAACCGGAAATTTCCCATGGACCTGGGGAATTTCTCAACAGAAAGCATTTAAAGACTTTAAATGCCAATTAGCTGAGGATGTCATCTTGGCTATACCAAGCCAGGATGGGAGGTTCAGAGTAGAAGCCAACTCTAGTGAAGGCACTATAGGAGCCATGCTCTCACAGGAACAAGATGGCAAATGATGACCAGTTGCCTTTATGTCAAAGACGCTCACAGTAACGGAGCACAATTATGAAATCTACAACAAGGAACTCCTCACCATAATGCTTGCCCTTGCCAAATGGCAGCATTATCTCATTGGAGCAAGTCAGACTTTTGAAATCTGGATCGATCACTAAAATCTCTGATACTTCTGACAACCCCAAAAGCTTAATCGAAGACAAGCTAGATGGGTCATGGAGTTGTTAGAATATGAATATACACTTCATCACAAGGCTGGAGCAGCAAACAAGATGGCCAATTTCCTCAGCCACAGGGCAGACCATAATCAAGAAGGAGACGACAACAAGGAAGTCATATTGCTACGACCAGAACACTTCTGGGCAATGATTATGCTGACAGAAGAGGATGTGCATGAATGCATCAAGAGTGCCACCTGAGATCTCCACAAGTGGGATCAAAGGATTGCCCCGAGCCTCAATCATGAGCAGGAACTAAAAAAGGAAGGAGAAATGATCCACTATGATAGACGAATCTATATCCCAAGGGATCAGAGACTTCAAGGTGACATCATCACCAACTACCATGATCACATGACCACCAGACATCCAGGGATTGCTAAAACAAAGGAATTAGTCTTGAGAGAATATTGGTGGCTGAAAATAGACCATGATATCACCTGATATATCAAGACTTGTGAAGTCTGCCAGTGAGGCAAGATTTCAACACAATCCAAAGCAGCTCCACTCCACCCAAATGAGGTCTCTTCATCACCATGGACCCACATCTCAGTGGATATGATAACCAGACTTTCTAAAAGTAATGGCTATAATGCCATCATCATCATAGTCGACCACTTCTCAAAAGTGATCATTCTGATTGCATGCTCAACAGAACTCACATTCAAGGGATGGGCAAAAATACTACATGATGAGGTATATGCAAAATATGGAATGCCTCAAGTAGTAATTTCAGACAGAGGACCACAATTCGTGTCCAAATTCTTGGACGACCTATATTGACTTCTCAACATCAAACGAAATGCCTCAATGGCATATCACCCACAGACAGATGGCCAAATGGAATGGGCCAACCAGGAAATCGAAAAGTACCTACAACTTTTCATCAGTTATTGACAGGATGACTGGATGGAATGGCTAGCACTAGCAGCATTCCAACACAATAACAGAATTCACTCAGCAATGGGAAAAACACTGTTCTTTGTGAACTATGGATGGAACCCACCAGTTGCACAAATGGAACAGGCTCACACAACAACACCAGTATCAATGGACTTTGCAACAAAAATAGCAAGAATTCATGAGGAAACCAAGAGAGCCCTCAAAAAGGCGGCTTCAACAATGAAGAAGCAGTTCAACAAACATCGTTGCCCTGCCCACAACTATTCAACCAATGACAATTTTTGATTGGATATGACAAATCTTCATCTGCCAAGACCAAAGCAAAAACTTGCAGACAAATGAACAGGACCATTCAAAGTCATTGCCAAGGTCGGCAACTCTGCATATAGACTGCAACTACCAGCAACATGAAAAGTTCATAATATTTTTAATGAAACATTGTTGACACCATACATGGCTCCTGCCTTTCCAAACCAAGCACAACCACCTCCACCTCCACCTGAACTCATCGAAGATGAAGAACACTATGAAATTAATGAAGTGCTAAACCACAAAACCTGAAAGGTTAAAGCACAAGGCAGAGGCATGAAAACAACTGTTGACTACTTAGTCAGCTGGAAAGGTTATGGACCAGAATCAAATCAATGGATCAACAAAAAATACATGAATGCTAAAGAAGCAATTCAAGACTACAAGCACAAAATCAACAAAGTAGACTCAATGGATCTAACAGAACTACCACCTACAGCCAGCAGAGAACATAGTACAGAGGATGGAGCAGATGACCCTCAGCACCAAAATACATGATGACAAAGAGAGGATGATGAATATCTAGCCAAATATACATCAACCAACCTGCTAGAAATGGTGCAGTGATCAATCGAACATGGAGCAGAGGACTTATTCTAACTTAACCATCAGGATGATGGTCTTAAGGAGGGAGTAATGTTACAATTTTTCCTATTTCTTTTTCTTTTTTCCTTAGAAATGACCCCTATCTGTGCTTAGTCAGGGCACCTAAGCTGGCACTTATGATCATGGGAAAGCTTGGTCAGCAACCCAGTCAGTTATTGTCTTGATGTGCTGCTGTATGCTGTGAAGGGAGAGACAATACTCCTTTTGTCACTAGTGGCAGTATGACAGTAACAGCACAACAGCAAGACAACAGCTTTTGTGGAGAGCCTGGCAACAGCAGGGATAACAGCTCCATGACAGACAATATCTTTTGAGAATGAACTATTAATAGCCAGATAATAGAATAGTATTTAAGTAGTGTAGCTCTCGCTGTAGTACTCCAGCTTTGAGCTAAAGTTTATTCTTCACCATCCTATCTCAAGCAACTTGCGAATGCCTTGACCACACACTCTATTCAACACACTAGTGAACTCAGTCAGTCTAACCCAAAGTGCAAGGTTCTGAACTGTTTATCATGTGTTGATAGTCACATGGAGTTTGGGCTTAACAGATGGATGATGAATGATATCTTCAAGGATCTCATTGCCACTGGAAAGGTAACCATCTACCTCAATAACATATTCATCATATCAAAGATCAAGAAGGAGCATCAAAAACTAGTATGACAGGTACTAGCTCTAATAGGGAAGCATAAACTCTTTCTCAAGGCAGAGAAGTGTGAGTTTGAAGTTCTCAAAATAGAATACCTGAGAGTCATCATCAGTGAAGGAAGCATCCACATAAACCCCATCAAGGTGGCTGGAGTAGTTGAATGGCTGGAGTCAACAAAGAAAAAGGAATTGCAATCCTTTTTAGGATTCACAAACTTTTATTGCTGATTCATATGGGACTACAGCAAGGTGGTCTGACCAATGATGCAACTCACTGACAATGCCCCCTGGTCTTGAGGGTTATCCCAACAAACTGCTTTCAATGACTTGAAATGCCAACTTGTGGAGGATGTGGTACTAGCTATTTCTGACCAAAATGGCAAGTTCTGGTGATATGCAGGCTACATGTCCAGCTCTATAATTTGCAAATTCTGCATAACACACTAGAATATGCTAGTAACTGAGGATCATTAACCAGTAGAGGACTATGGCTGAGGCTCTGAGCTGATAGTTATGCTAGTCACCAATACTAAGTCCAAAAGAGACTTTGTAAAATAATATAGCCTAAGGATAAAAATCCTAAGTCAGGTTTGAACTTAGAAAAGTTCTGCATCTGTTAAGCCCAAGCGTCACGTGAACAGATACACGTGATAAACAGGTGTTCCTTCGCACTTCGAGGAATCACCTGAGTTCACTTATATATATATCC